TTTGGTACCAGGAATCAAATTCAGAACCTCGTGCTTGCTAGGCAGGTGTGGGGCCACTGAGATACATCTCTGGCCCATGTGATTTAGTGATTTAGTGAAACCCTGCCTCTAAATACAAAATAAGAAATGACAATAAATAAACAGATAAAAAAAACGGCTGGGGATGTAGCTCAGACCCAAGGCCCTGGGTTCAGTCCCCACTACCACATACCAAAGAAGCATTTTCTTTATTCTTGTTGACATTTTGCAAGGCCACATTAATTATTGTTTTCCCTTCATTGATTCTCTTAGAGACACTTGGTGAGGACTTTTGTTTCCCTTTGGCTCTGTGACTCTTGCATTTTGAGAAAAAAAAATTCCTGGTACTGGGGATTGAACCCAGGATTTTTCACTACATTCCCAGCACCCCTGCCCCCCCCCTTTTCAAACTCGGGTGCTCGCACTTGCAAAGCAGGCAGCAGAACCACTAAGCTAAATCCCCGGCCCCCGGCCCCACTTTTTAAAACAATTTGAGACTAGGTCTTGCTAAGTCAGTAAATTGCCAGGCTGAGCTTGAATTTGTGATCTTCCTTCCTCAGCTGACCAGAGTGCTAAGATTATAAGCATGTGCCACTATGCCCATTCAGTTTAGAAATTTCTGTCTGGTACTGTCTTCTAAATTACCCATTAATTAGATAAATGGTTCGGCCATCTCTATATGTTATCTTTGATCTCCTTTCTTTTAAAAAATATTGATACTGGAGAATTCTTTCTCTGAGAGTGTAACTTACACTAGGTACACCCTTCACAACTGTGCTACATCCCCAGCCTTTTCTTCATTTTGAGACAAGATATCTCTAAATAGCCTCAAACTTGTGATCCTCCTGCCTCAGCCTCCCGAGTAGCTAAGGTTACAGGCATGTACAACCATGCCTGGTATATCTTCTCTTTTAAAATATCTTACCTGTAAAATAGATGTACGAATAACTGGATTGAATTGTTTACATTAATAAGGCATAGCCAGCGTTTAGCTTGGCAACATAAAATATCCAATAAATATTTATTATCCATCATCAGATTATCCACCTCCTGGGATTTGTTGAACTCTCTTATGCTTGATAACTTTCCTTTGGAGAACTCTATTATTTTCTTACTCCTTGTCTTGGCGCCTTTCTTTTCTTTTTGTATCAGGGATCGAACTCGGGACCTTGTGCTTGCAAGGCAGGTGGAGGAACCACGGAGCTAAGTCCCCGGCCCTTGACAGCTTTCATTTTAACAGCATCTCTGAAGGGAGATGAGACAGAAAAATAAATGATCCAGTTTTTCGGTATTAATCTGGAACTCCTTTAATTTTTAAAAAAATTTAAAACGAAGTAGCAGCAAATAGACCACATATGTATATAGTCTCCATCCTGGTCCCCCGCTGGCCGTTGAATGGAATCTTTCCATTATGGTTTTATTTACTTATTTATTGCCTGTCACTAATTTTTTTAAAGTAGTATATAGGGCTGGGGATTTAGCTCAGTGGTTCTGCCGCCTGCCTCGCAAGTGCAAGGACCCAAGTTCGATCCCCAGTACCAAAAAAATAAAAAAATAAGTAGTATATAAATTTACTATTAACAACTGTTTTGCTTTTGTCTTTTGAGACAGGGTCTCGCTTTGTAATTAAGGGTGGCCCGGAACTCACTAAGTAGCCCAGGCTGGCCTCGAACTCGCAGCGATCCTCCTGCCTCAATCTCCCGAGTGTGGTCACCTCTAAATAGAGACCTTTCGGTGGAGCGCACGCAATTGCCCTACTTTCTTTTACGAGGTAATGTTGAGAAAGAGCCGAGCACACCCAAACGTCGCGGCAGAGACTCCTCCAGTAGGGGGCGTACCCCGCTGGGTCTGAGTCTTTGTGAATAGTACGCAACGTCGGGGGCGGGAATAACTCTAGATCCGCCCCTTGCATGTGCGGCGCCCTGTGATTGGAAGAAGGGACTATGATTTGGCAGCGCAGTTGGTGGGGAAGGAAGGAGAGGGCCCTGGACTAAGGTGACGCTGAGGCGGAGTAGGTGTAAGAAGCAAGGCTGTGTAACACTTCGGGCGTGCTCCCTTCATCTTTCTGTGGTGAATGGCGCCAGGATGGAGCGCGAGGGGAGCGACGGCAGCGGGGCTTCGGCCGGACTCCTGCAGCAGATCCTCAGCCTGAAGCTCGTGCCGCGGGTGGGCAACGGGACCCTGTGCCCCAACTCCACTTCTCTCTGTTCCTTCCCAGGTACGGCCCCGCCCCGCGCCTGCGCACTGCGCGCTCTGCCGCTCCCGGGCCGGGTGGGAACCGCGCCCCTCCTGCTGGGAAGTTCCGGCTTCCTGGCCCGAGAACACTTTCTGGTCACTTCTTCGCAGGTCCCCAGGGTCTGGCCACCTCAAGCCTGTGATGAGGGCCTGAGACCGGAAAGAGCAGCCGCCGGTGTAACGGGTAACTAAAGGGGCCAGTTGTCGCCCTTTGGAATTTCCCAACCGGCCGGGTTCAGAGTGCTATCTGGCTTGTTTGGGTCGCGGAACAGGGCCTGTCCTCTACGAGGAAACTCGGCTAGGGTCGTCCCTGCCTGGCCGAGCAGCGATCAGAGATAACATTTCCTTTGTTTCTAGCCTGTAGCCCACCCTTCTGCGCCGGTAGCCCCGTCTGCTTATCACTGGCACCCCATCCAGACCCGCCCCTGCAATTCGTCTTTCTAGGCTTTGCTTTCTGAGACCTGTTGGGGGATCTCCTACCACAAGACCTTCGACACACCTTCTCTTCAACTCCTCTTTCCCCCTGCCTGAGTTACTGATGGGCCTGGTAGAATGGTTTTTCAAAGTAACAAGGCGGAACTGTCAGTGCTCAAAAAGTGAGGAGAAACGACCTCTTCTAGGAAGATTCATAAAGGTTTTGAAGGGAGGAAATAGTTATTTGTACGAGACCTTTACAGACCAGACCAGACTAATGGCTATTGAAGGGGGAGCTTAGGGCCCTGAGACTTTGATTTAGTAACCAGTGTGAGAACTGGGCCTAGGGCGAATGCCAGCGGAAATCAAACGGGATTGCTGAGTGCAATCTTAAACAAGACTCCTGTGATTTCCTGTCCACTGGGCAGCGACTGCTGGCCATCTTTCAGTGGACACTTGGGACTTGCTCTGTATCACTTGCCTAGGAATCATCCAGCACAGTTTTACCAAATAGCTGATCAGGCAGTAAACTGTGTTGGGACAAATGAAATGTTAGCTATGTAATCATGCCTGAAACGACAATTTCAAATCTCAAATGACAGTTTCAAAAAGTATTGGGATCACAATTGACAGTAATAAAAATACAGTAGCAGCATTCTGTAGAACATGACTACAAAGTGAAGTGTTCATACACTGCTAAGACAACATTAGTCCGTTTAGTTTTTTTCCCCCTGACTTTATTTGGAAAATTTTCAAACCTTCCGAAAAATGGAAAGAACAGCGTAGTAAATATCCATATGCTTTAATTTGGTGATAAAGGCACTCACTGCGTAACAACCTGGATTTTTCAGGCAGTTTTGTTGTGTGAACATTGGACAGTGTACTTAACACAAACCTAGGTGGAATAGCCTATCACACACATAGGCTGTATTATCTTACAGGCTCACCATCATATATTTGGTCTGCAAGTGACCTTAAGATATTCTTTCAGTCTCCACAAACACACACGCACACGCACATTGGTATGCATTCATGTCACATTTTAACTTTCTGCAGAGCCTTTTCAGGAGTCAGAGCACTTAATTCCTAGTACTTGAGCATACATCTTCAAAAACAAGCTCTTTTGTATCATAGTCACAAAATCATATCATTCCTAATATATTTTACATTGATAGGATAATGTTTTCTAACCTACAGATCTTATTTAAACTTATTTAAACTTCCTCCCACTTGGCCACATAGTGTCACCCTCCCCCCTTTTAAATTCCAGGATCTAATTAGGTTGCAGTGGTGCATGCCTGTAATCCCAGACCCTGGGGAGAGCTGAGGGAGGAAGATCCCAAGTTGGATCTCATCCTGGGCAGTTTGGAGAGACCCTGTTCCAACAGATAAAAGGCCGGGGTGTGTGGCTCAGCACAAAGGCCCTGTGCTCAATCCCTAGTACCACCAGCTAGCCAGCTAAGTACATGCATACGTGTATACATACAATTTATTTCAGGATCTAATCCAGGATCACACATGACATTTAGTTATGTCTCTTTGGTCTCATTTAACCTAGAATAGGTTTCAATTTTTGTTTCAGTTTCTTCAGAATGCGATCATCGCTCACCCACCCCATTCCTTCAGTACTAGGGATTGAACGCAGGACCTTGTGCTTGTGAGGCAGGCACAGCAACGCTGAGTTTAATCCCTGTCCCGAGACAGACTTTTTGAAGAAGCTAGGCCAGTTTAATTATAAACTGTCTCACAATCTAGATTCATCAGCTTTCTCCATGATTTGATTCAGATTAAACATTTTTGGTGAGAATGCACCCTACATAGATGATATTTTTCACTTGATGCTGCATCATATCAGTGGTTAATGTCAGTTTGAATCTTTATTGATAATGTTAGCTGTGGTATTTGATGGAGGTGCTGTCTGTTAGGTCTGTCATTGAAGAATACCTTCATCCTTTCATGATTAAAAGTCATACCTGATGTGATAATTTAGAATTGAATATTCTTTTTAGTCTGGCTGGCTTTTAGTTACTTTTTTTTTTTTTTTTTTTTTTTTTTGGTACTGGGGATTGAACTTGTCCTTGTGCTTGCAAGGCAGGCGGTGGAACCACTGGGCTAAATCCCTGGCCCATAGTTACCTTTTGAGACAACATTAAGATAAGTGAATCTGAGCTGATAGTTTTAATGTCACAGTAAAGTATCTCTTCCTGTGGGAATTGTTTTGCCTTTAGAAACTTCTAAAAATCTTAAACTACAGTATGTGCTTGAGTTTAACATTACTTCTATGTACAATAACTTTTGGGTATTGGTTCCCAGGGGCATTATTCAGCAAGTATACATTTGACTAAGAGCAGGCTATTGGCTGGGAATTTACACAGTGTAGGGCATAGCCACAGGCTGATCGGAGTGTGGTGGGGAACACATACCCTGCCTTCTGTGCCTCATTGTCAGCTGAAATGCTAGATGCAATAGGTAGTTGAAGTTTGACCTAGTTTGAGGCACCAAAGCCTGTTACTAAAAGAGTCTCATTCAGTGTCCTGAATCTGGCATTGTTTCTGTTTTGGGCCCACAGAAAAGGTTACTTGGAGTTTATGCCAACTCATTATGGCAGAATCATTGCTTTGAAACATTCTGTGGTTTATCTGCCAGGACTCTTTGGATTGATTTTTTTTTTTTTAACTTGCATTTGCAATTTAGCAATCTAGATTTTTGCCTAAACCTCCTTGTTCCAAATTGTTCAAATTTCTTTGTTGTCATTTTTAAGAAAGTTCAATACCAAGAAAGACAGATCTTACAATCAGGAATAACATTCATTTCTAAAGATATGAATTTCACTAAGCAATGTCAAAGTCTGTTTTGTGACAGTTAAACTAAAGCCCAGTAATGTCTTGGTTGTGCTATTACTAGAATAAAAAATGGGTCAAGCCAGATATGGTGCATGAAATAGTAATCCCAGCTGCTGGGGAGGCTGAGGCAGGAGGATCACAAGTTCAAGGCCAACCCGAACAACTTAGTGAGACTCTGTCTCAAAATTCAGAGGCCCTGAAAGAGGAGCTTGTTTTAGAAACATCTAATGTGCCAGGTCTAGTGACACATACCTATAATCCCAGCACTTGGGAGGTTGAGGTAGGAGGATCACCGCAAGTCTGAGGCCAGCCTGGGTCACATAGTGAGTTCAGGACCAGATTAAACTTCAGCGTAAGACCTTGTCTCAAAAAAAGAGAAACATCCAATGTGGGCAAGGGAGAGAGGAGGAGGTGAGGTCAGATCCTACAGGGCAGTTACGAAGGGTTTTACTAGAGAAAGGATGATCTCACTTACTTTTTAGTGTATAGTCTAGTGTTTTGTTTTGTTTTGTTTTTGTTTTTTGTACCAGGGATCAAACTCAGAACCTTTTGCTTGTGAGGCAGGCACAGTGCCACTGAGCTAAATCCCCGGCCCAGTGGTTATTAATAATTTCAGAGTTGTGCAGCCGTCACCATAGTAAATTTGAGAATATTTTCATCACCCCAACAAGAAAGTCCATATCCACTAGCACTGACTGACTGCCTCTGTGTGGAGAGTAAACGAAGGCCGGATCAAATGAACACGGTGGAAGCCAGGCTAGGACCCGGAGACCTGTGGGGTGAGGCAGGGCAGAGGCACGCCACTCTGGACAGGGATGGGAGGGTGGGCCTGCTGTGCGTCAGGAAAGAAGTGGCCAACCAGTTAGTAGTCCTGAGGGCAAGTCCTGGGACTTGGGGTCCTCCTGCCTCAGCCTCCTGAGTAGTTGGGATTATAGGTATGTGTCACTATGCCCAACACTGAAAACAGTCTTAAAGATATAAACTCTGCAAGCTTAAGTCTTTTTTGTTTTTTTTCACTGATGTGCCTGACATATAGAATGTGCTCAATAAACGTTTGACTGATGAACGAATAAATCTTCAGTGTTTGTATTTATTTGTTTGCTATTTTTGCTGTATTGTCCCACAAATTAGCTAGGTACAGTGGTGCACATCTGTGTTCCCAGCACTCTGAGAGGATGAGGCAGGAGGACTTCAAGCTCACACCTAGCTGGGGCAATTCAATGAAACCTTGTCTCAAGATAAAAAATAAGAACTGGGGTTGTAGCTCAGTGTAAAAGCCCCAGATTTGATCCCCCGTACCACCAAGGGGAGGTTTTTTTTTTTTTAGAGGCCACAAATTTACCAGTAAAACAACACAGCTTTTATCATTTTACAGTTGTGGAGGTCAGAAGTGAAATGGTCTCACTGGGCCAAAACCAAAGTGTCAGGGCTGTGTTCCTTCTGGAGGCTCTAGGAAGCTGTTTGCTTGCCTGTCCCTCTTCTAGGGCTGCCTGCATTCCGTGGCTCATGGGCCTTCCTTTACTTCAAAGCCAGCAGCTTAACATCTTCACACTGACCCTTTACACAGGGACCTTGGCATTATGTTAAGTCCAGCTGGAGAATCCGTGGTAATCTCCCTAGTGTACCCACATCTTCAAGGTCCCTTCTGCTATGCAGCAACAGTTCGCAAGTTTGGGGGATCTCTTTGGGGCCCCTTCTACCACCATGCTTACTCTTGTTTTTCTTTATAGTCTTTTATTCCAGATTAGTTATCTAAGGTACCTTTGGCCACAGTGAAATGCTGTGCCTCTCACTGTCACTGTGGTTTGCATGATCAGGTCACACGGGCTGTGTCCTCTGGAGCAGACCCGTACCTTTACCTTCATTGTTACTGTGCGAGTGGGTTTGTTGCAACAGCAAGTGGGTTTGTTGCTTAGCCCCCTCTGTACTGCTCATCCTCCCTCACCAGATGTGACCTCAGTGTGGTCTTCCCATCTCCAGGACTCTGTGAACCAAAAACTTTCTGATAGAACAGCACAAAACAGACCGATGTAGCTGCCAAGGTAAACAAAGCTAAAGATAATGCACTTGATTTGAAAGCAGCAGAGCGAAGTACTGTAAGACAAATATTTTTGACACTGTAATGATCCAGGGAAATGAAAAGTACTATATAACAATCGATAAATAGCTATTAAATAGATGGCAAGTTAACGTGCAGTAGATTAAAGGGAAATCACTTAGTTTCTAAAAAAAGTGTTTATAGATCTGGGTTTGTCTTTGCTGTTAGAGCGCTATAATAATCTTACTGTCCTAAAAGTGTTTTTATAAACTACTATTCCCCTAATGGGATCAATTTTGAACTTTTTAAAAATGAACGCGTTGGCTTTTCAGCAAAGGAAAATGGGAATTATCGCCAACCCAACTCCAAAGCAGCGACTTTGATAACTTAGTCTGCTGGGAGGGGCCGCACCGAGGACGAAGATGTGGCTGACAGCAGGTGGTGAGGGCGAGGCACGATTCTTAGCCTCTGTCTGCGCCTGGTTCTCTTCCGTGATCAGGGATGATAGTCAGAGGAACTTCCGAACTGTTCTGAGGAGTAAAGGAGTTGATGTTAGTAGAGCACTCAGAACAGTCCCTGTTTGCATAAATATTTATTGAATGCATAAAAATGTCCAGACTTGTCTCTCAAAATGTAGAAGCATTACATGTGCATATTTTGTTTTGTTTTTACGAAAACTGGTTCTTATTCTATATAACCATTTGCAACTTGCTTTTTTCGCTGCATGCTGCAGCTTGGCCTCGCAAGCCATTGGTATATCTAGGTCTGTCTCATTTTTATGTGACAGGTAGGGTTCTGTTACACGGATGCACGGAACATGTTTTGCAAGTCCCATGGTGTTGGTCGTGTAGTTGGCCGCCAGTTGTGTTTGTTAAATAGATGGTGCTGCCACCTGTGACCTCCCTCCTTTCCTCCGCGTGTGTTCCTGAAGGACGTCCTTCAGGAAATGATGTCAGTGCTGTAAAGGATACGCACTGGGAGTATCGGGCGGGGCCTTCGGAATGACGTCCAGACGGCCCCTCAGTACTCAAAAGCCTGAAAGGTGCATCCAGAGAGCCCCCACAGTGTGACCCCCATAGGTGTAACTGCCATTGTGCTTGAATTCTGTCTGCTTCAGTAAAGCCTGTGGGTTTTAATCAGGGTAATTTGCCTCCTTGGGGACACTGGGCAAGGGGCCACATGGGGAAGAACAGTATTACTGGCCGAGGGGGCTGCTTCTCATCCTCCGCTGCACGGGGCAGCCCTCTGGTCAGAGAAGCCTACGCCTGCTGGGTGAAGCTGGGTGCTGACCTGTAAGATTGCCTGCTCCTTTCTTCCCTGCCTCTTGCCAAGGTGGCAGTGGGCTTTATCTGACGTGTCCCCTTCGTTCTCTTCTTACGAACAGCTAAAGAGCTGTCTTAGTATTCTAAAGCCTTGATTGGTTGGGTTCACTGGAGAAAAATGCTGTGCCTGCCACTTACCAGAAGGTGAAGTCAGGTGAAGGCAGGATGGTATTGTTTTCATAGGTGCCTCACGCATAGCTTTTCGTACGTAGTTGGTGAGCAAATATTGTAAGATTGGCTGGGAGTGTAGCTCTGAGCTCCATGGTGACACATGTTCTGAGGCCCTCATTTCAATCCTCAGTATCAAAGAGAAAAAAATTAGCACCTGAATTTCAACCACCTAATGAGTAGAGCTGGGTGTGGTGGCTCAGGCCTGTGATCCTAGCACTAGGAGGGCAGAGGCAGAGTTCAAGGCCAACCTGGCCTAAACAACAAGACTCAAAAAGCAAACAAAAAAGTAAGTAGAGTTCTTTATAGAAGCCAGCTCTTCTGACTTCGCTTTCAAGCCAAACATTGACATTTTCCAATATTTATTTCCTATCCTAAAGAGCTTTTATATTCTAATAGGAGGTGATGGTTTGATATTTCTTGCATTGTCTTTAAAATGATTTTTGAATGAATTGTACAGGTTTTCCATTTTAGAAGACTGAATAATCAAAAAGGCAGGAAAATAGTCATCAGTTGCTTATTACCCTATCGATCAGCAAATTATTTGTCTTTTTCCAGGGCTAGGGGTTGAATCCAGGGCTATGGGTCCACTAAGCTTGTGCTCTACCACTGAGCTGCACCCCAGCGCCCCCACTCCCTTTTTCAGACAGTCCAGACTGGCCTTGAACACACAGCCATCCTCCTGCCTCAGCCCCTCAGATGCTGGAATTACAGGTGTGCAGAGTCTTTTTACAGATCTTGGTGAACCTTTGTTCCAGGTTTAGTGTAGAGGTAGCTAATTATTGGCTGGTCAGAAAGTATTTTAGGGTTTTCGGGCCATGTAGACTTTGTCCTTATCAGCTCTGTGCTTGTAGCTGGAAAGTTGTCAGATGATACCTCGGTAAACAAGGATGAGTTCAAAGAAGTTTTTATGTGCACAGGTCTTAAAATGGGGCCCAAACATTTTATGTAAAAAAACAGGCAGTGTGCCAGGCATGGTGGCAGGAGTTTGAGGCCAGCCTGGGCTACATGGTAAAACCCTGTCTCGAAAAAACCAAACCAAAACAAAACAAAAAATGGGCAGTGCCTGTGTGTAGTTTGCCTTCTGCTCTAAGGCCGCCAGTGTTTGCACGTTTGACTGATGAATCCACATGTTCATCAGTAACTGAGAATTTAGAAAATGAACCGACTGGGCTTGAAGGCCCCTTTACAGTGATTTCACTGGGAAAACGAGTGACCATGGCCTGTCCTCCTCTCCCCCGCAGAGATGTGGTATGGCGTGTTCCTGTGGGCACTGGTATCCTCTCTGTTCTTTCACGTCCCTGCTGGATTACTGGCCCTCTTCACCCTCAGACATCACAAATATGGTAGGTTCATGTCTGTAAGCATCCTGTTGATGGGCATCGTGGGACCAATTACTGCTGGAATCTTGACAAGTATGTTAGACATTAAAATACCAGTCAAAAACATTGAATGTGACTACTCAGTTAATTTCAGGACGTGCTTTAGAAATACATAAGTGGGATGAATAAAAAAATGAGAATCTTTTGACCACTGATCCTATTTTTAAATGTACTGGTCTTTTCGTACACAAAGCCCCCTTTATTTGATTAATCTCTTTGGCTTCCTGAGCCAGGCGTTTTCAGGGAAGCCAGTTTAAGCTTTGTGAGACAGGTCACTGGGAAAGAAAAATGTCGTTGGATATTGCCTCTTTGGAAGGAAGCTAGTGCTCCTTTCTGATCCACTATGACTTAACTGTGGCTTTGCAAAATAGTTCTACTCTCTGAGGCATGGTTACTTTAAAAATGAGTAATAATTCTAATGTCAAGAATTCTTAGCCAGGCAAGTATTGGTGGCACATCCCATCCTTGTAATCCCAGCATTCTGGGAGGCTGAGGCAGGAGGATCACAAGTTTAAGCCCAGTCTGGGCAACTAAGCAGTTTAGCAAGATTCTGTCTCAATAATAAAATAAGGGCGGAGGATGTACCTCACTGCAAAGGCCCTGCATGCAAGCCACAGTACCCGCCCCCCACCCCGAATAAAATAAATATATTTTAAAAAGTATCTGATTTGAGGGCTGGGAATACACTTGGCTAGCATGTGCAAGGCCTTGGTTTCACTTCCTAGGAAAAAAGAAAAAAAAAGTACCAGTAACTGAAGTATGTTCGGGTGATTCCCCCCTCACCCCCACTGCCTCAGGACTTTCTTGTTTTTTGTTTTTTATTTGAGATAGGGTCTCATTATGTAGTCCAGGCTGGCCTTGAACTTGAATTTGCCGTCCTGTCTCAGCTTTCCCAGTGGCCACCACGCCTGGCTTCCTGAGGACTTTCTGATTAAGAATCAGAGTAACGTGGACATTAGTATTTTCTACCTATTTATTATCAGTGTATGTTTGCGATACATAATAGCTACATTTGTTTTGGGGAACTGGTACATATATAAATCATATCTTGATCATTTAAATTATTTTTCAACATTTTTGTATTTTGGCTTTTGGCTCATGTCACAGGGCATAATTACAGGAATGACAATAAGTTTAAATTATTTTTAAGCCCATATTTACATATAAATGTATATTTGATATGTAGTAAAATTGTAAGCGAGCAAAAAGGTTGTATATATTAATAACCACAGTTTGCATTTTGGTGTGTATGCTAGATATATAACACATAAGTAAAATAAGTAAATTCATAAAACATACAAACACTATTCATACTAATTTGTGGATTTTTTTTTTTCTGCTGTGAATTTAAACTTTATAAACTTTAAGCTTCAAGTAGAAATCTTTTTTTTTTTTGGTACCGGGATGGAACTCAGGCCCTTGCGCTTGTGAGGCAGGCGGCAGAACCACTCAGCCAAATCCCTAGCCCTCAAGCAGAAATCTAAATTCGTATCTCTAATTTGAGTTGTTTTTGAGACAGTGTGCCTGACTTTTTTTTTTTTGGTACTGGGGATTGAACTCGGATCCTCACGCTTGCTAGACAGGCGGCAGAACCACTGAGCTAAATCCCCGGCCCCGACTCTGTTCTAGTTTTGTTGGTTTGGTTTTTTTTTTTTTTTTTTTTTTTTTTTTTTTTTTTTTTTTTTTTTTTTTTTTTTTTTTTTTTTTTTTTTTTTTTTTTTTTTTTTTGCCCTTGGTTTTTTGAGACAAGGTCTTACTGTGTAGTCCAAGCTGGCCTTGAACTCACTATGCAGCATAGCCCAGGCTGGGCTTGAACTCACAGCCATCCTCCTGCCTCAGCCACCCAAGTGCTGGGACCACAGGCGAGCGCTCTCATGCCTGGCTTTCTCTCTCTTGTGTCACCTGCTGTTGCAGACACCTCTGCTTCAGTGTCCACACTGGGCTCCTGGGCCCAGGACGGGTCTGTTTTCTCATCCATAATACAGGGATAGGCTGCCTACTGTTCATCACTGAGCGCTGATTAAATGAGACTGTGCCTGTGAAGGATTTAGTGGACCGCCCGACACGTGGGGATGGTACATGAATTATTCCACCTTATTTCCATCTTTAAGGCTCCATCGTGGGGTTTATTCCCTTGCCGTTTGCTATTTTCTGATAGACTTTTTTCTTTCTTCTCTCCATCATCCGAATCCCACTTGAGGGTATAGTTCACGTTCCTTAAACTTCTTTCTACCCAACCTACTTTTTTATGGGAGCTAAATTTTAGGCAGGCGCAATGCAACAGGTATCTTCAGATGTTGGAAACATCAAAGGCTGCTGGAAATAGGCGAGCGACCTTAGGTTATTCATTGTTTCTTTCCCTTCCCTTCCCCTTCCCTTCCTTCCTCTTTTCTTCTTTCCTTCCCTTCCCTTCCCAGGTTACCACAGGTTAGGCTGAAACTTGCAGTCCTCCTGCTTCCCAGAATGCTGGGAATACAGATACGTGCTGCATGTCCCGCTGTTCCTCCTTGTTAACAGCGTTAAATATGTTAATATTCCTTCATACGACATATATATATATATAT